GGGGGGGGGGGGGGGAAAAAAAAATTTAAAAAAAAAAAAAAAAAAAAAAAAACATGTTGAAGTCCTCTCTACGTCCCTTAATTCAGGCTGACTTGAGAAGGAAAGGAACAAGAGGTTCCATGCAGTGGTTTGGTGAAACTTGCGGCCTACAGTCTTCCCCCGAATACAACGTACGGTCATTATAGCTGAATTTAGACTGAAAGATACACCAAATTCAGCTATAATGACCGTACGTTGTATTCGGGGGAAGACTGTATGGGGGGGGGGTCAAGATGGCAAAATTGGAGGGGTGGCCCAATTCGCCCTAGATCACGTACCTGGTTTGCTCGGTTCAACTTTCTTTTTTTTTTTTTTTTTTTTGGAGCTCGGTTCAACTTTCTGCAGGAGGAAGGCAGTGAGACCAAAAGGATGAAGGGTTCTTATTTTAAAAAAGAAAAGAAAAGAAAAAAAAAAGGATGAAGGGAGCGATGGGGGTGGTGTTTGGTCCTTGGGGTCCGATCTGTCGGTTTAGGCAATAAATATGGGATTAGTGTACGGTACAGTAGGAGGAGGGATGAGGTGATTTTGAACTAGTTAGGTGGTCCGGGTTGTTTGCATGTTGGTTTGTGATGTTTTTTTTTTTGTTTCTTAATCTATATTCTTCTCTCAATCTATTTCATCTTTTTTTTTTTTTTTCCAAGGGCAATGGCCTTGAGGTATTATCATCGGACTAACCACCCCAGGTAAATTCAATATTGTGTCTAATCTGACATCGGGTGGCCTTTTCAGCCCAGGGTGGCCTTGATTGCCTTCAGGGAACCCCCAATGGGGGACACCGGCCAGGGGACAGCCGGTAGCAGAGGGACCGAGCATCATCTGAGTGACCAGTCGCTGTGCCTCCCCGATTACCCCTCCCCCTATGAACATCAGCAGAGACTGCTTTTTAATGCCATCTTTCTTGGTAGTATGCATCTGGTTTCTTGGCCTGTGGCCGTATTTTTTCTCCTTTAGCTCCTTTTGTGGTTGTTGGGGTTTTCAGGTCTGTGACAATTGTTTGTTAGGGGCTGGGATTTCAGGACAGCGGCCTAGGATAGGCACATCTCTGTTCCTAGACATTTCTTGGTCCCAAGGTGGGTTGTGATGTTCGAGCTATGCTCGTAAACTAAGCTGGCTGACACTGCCAGGATAACTCGGGGTTGATTTGTGAGGTCCTCGGCCTCTGGTTACCTGGTTTAATATGATTAGAAGTTTGGTCTTTGCATTTCCTGGCTCCCTCAATCGCCCGCCCCACCCTGCTCGCTGACCGCTACAGATGAGGACCATTTCTCGATTTATGCGTGTCATCCAAGGGACCATTTGCTAATGTACCCTTCTCTATATCATTCCAATTTTAACGGATGTCCTGAAGGACCACTGCAGATTAGGACCACTGCCGATTAGGGCCGGGGGCAAAATGCATCCTTGATTGCGAGAGGTACCTATGCTTGCAACAATCCCCTGTTTAGGCTAAGAAGTAGTAGTAGGCCGGTAGTGAAAGGTGACACCACTAGTAATTGGCCCAGCTATCGGCCGCGCGGCGCTTCCCCGCCAGTACTTGGCCCAGCAATCGGCCATGCGGCGCTTCCCCGCTAGTACTTGGCCCAGCCATCGGCCGCGGTGACGCCCAACCTCACGCCCGGCGCGACTTCCTAATCGGAGTGGAGTGTGGGCCTAGAAGTGCGACAAAGGGGTGTGCCAAGGATTTTTGGAAAGTGGGGGTGGAGTCCCAGGTCGGGACTGAGATCTCTGGTGGCAAGGTTCAGGGGCCTAGATGCAATAGAGCACTGGGAAAATTTACGGGCGTGGGCTTTCACGCTGGTTGTGCGGGGCCGTCCGATCCTAGCGTGATCGCCAGTTCTGGGGAGCCTGTCGAGGCGGTCCTTGGGGCCCACGCCTTCGGGGTCCGCCACGTGGCGTGGGTTGGTGGGAACTATGCCTAGGTGCCGAGGCTCCGGGGGTTCGGGTATGGGCACGTCGCCTGCAACTTCTGCACGGGGTGGAGGGCCAATAAGGCGCTACGGAATTCCACGGTACTACTGTAAGCTGATGATAGGGGAGGAGGAGGTGGTATGGCGGGAAATTAGTGGCGATAAAGACGAAGCCGAGGGTTATGAAATACTGCGTGTTGTACGTGTTTGGGTAGTCGGGTATCCGTGGGTCGCTTCGTACGGCGAGATGGAATTCCCTAGCGCAGAATCTATCGTTCTCCGTGAGGCAGGGGAACACCGGGTTTCTCAAATTTCCCCGTAATCGAAGTTGCTCTTCTTCCCAGATTTCCCGGTACCCGAAATACGACTCGTAATCCTCGGAATTCCAAGATACGTCGGAACCCCGCGAGCTCGTCATTCTTTCATCACTCACGCCTTGGGGGATAAGTTAATMGGGGAGATCACCGCWCGTAAGTGCGTAAGAGAGATGCGAACAAGTCGCACTTACGCGCACTTACGCGTGATGGGTAACCCGATCCCGGTCGACGTCGACTCCTACTTCAGTGAGGGCTGACTACGGGCGCTGGCCAAGACGCGATTGGCGAGTCCGAGTGGTATGGACACATGTAAGCCGTGCTCCATTCGGATCACACTTGCAGGTGCCCATATGGAACGTCGGATGGTGCGCTCCAGACTACACGTAAGATTCAACAAACCAACACACTCTACTGATCACGCCAACATGCGATCCCCATTCTCATTCATCATGTATGAGGGTTCGAAGGGAAACGATCAAAAACGAAAAGGCGAAGGTGCGCGAACCATCCATACATCATTTGCAAAAGAGGATTCCGGAGAAGGAACGAAAAAKGAGAAAACATCGATACAAAAGAAAGAACCAAGTCGAACAACAGGACGAGTATATGGCCGCAAAGACAAGGGCGAGTTGCTCGTAAGCGATGTTAACGTTTATTAATCGCGCCCTCGGCGCGCACTCCGCATCCATCCGACCAAGTTTCACCCCCTTTTCCCCGTGCATTCCCGAATTGTCCCCAACTGTCATCAGGGGCTTGTGCGAGAACGAAGAAACAACGAAGAAAGCAAGGACACACATGCAATTTTCCATCAACCCGTCCAATCGACGTGGGACCCCGCTTAGTACTTCGCGCAGAAAGTCGCGCATTACAGAAGCTAGTTCGTCACATACGTGACGCCCAGGGGGTTCCAAAGATAAGCAAGCTCCTGCTTGCTAGCTGAGGTGTCGATCATCTTTGATTGATTGGCCGTGGATGGTTGATCTTCTTTTCTGCCGCATACCGTGCGAACGAGTGTGGAAGTCATGTTGCGCGACAGTCGTATCCCAGTTGTCGTCACTCGTGGGGATGAGGAAAAGGAAGACGATAGGCAGGCGGAGGTGTTGATGGGGATGAGTTGGGATAGGCGGGAAGAAGCGTTCCAGCTCATCGTCCGTTTCCGGAAGGCTCCGATGATGAACGATTCTATGGAAGCGGGGGAATCGGCGGCCAGTAGTGGGGAGAGAAGCGAGGTAGTCGGGATAGAGAGTGGTGAAGGTTCAAAGAAGTGCCGCGCGAAAGTGTTCGCGGTCGTCGCATGCGGGGATTAACCCCGTGATGAGGCAATAAACCTCTACGGCGTTGGTACGACGCCATCCTACGCTAAAAAGAAGTACATAGAGAGGGAACTCAGGGGAAGCACGCTGGGAGGATGAGTGGGGATGGATTGTGACAGAGAGATAGATGGAGAAGTAATGACGGAAAGTGTCACATGGGAAGGGATTATGGGGGAAGACGGCGGAACGGGTGAGCTGGCGCAGGGTGAGGAAGTCATGGGGGCGGAGAGAGAGAGCCCGAGGACGAAGACCGATCGGCCTCATCTCGACGTGCGGGACGGACCGCGAGGGAGAGGGAGGCGGAGGGGGAGCGGCTTCGTCGTCGGTGTCGCGGTGGGGAAGGAGGCCGGCGAGCGGACGGCCCAGCCATCTGGGCCACATCGTCGTCGTCTGGCTGAGGTGGCTCCGGGTCGAGCGTTGGATCGTTGCTGATCTGAAGATCAGCAACCGGTGCAATTTCTAGCTGGGGATCCTCGTCGGCGTGCTCCTCGTCGTTGTCGTCACCGCTCCCTTGCTCGCTGTCTTCTTCTTCTTCTTCCTCTTCATTCTCCATTTGCAGGAGCTCGTCTTCTTCTCCTTCTCGTTGCTGTGCTGACCCCTCTTCGTCTTCGTTCGGATTCTCCTCCTCTTCCTCCGAACTTTCTTCCGCGAGCTCTTCGCGGATTATCTCCTCCAATTCGTCCTCGTATGACGGTCTGTAGAAAGCGGGATCCACGATGTCGCGCGGATCCAAATAATCCAACCGTGAAGGAGGAATTCTCGATGGGAAGCCCTCCACGCAAGCTGACCATTGAAGATATGGCGACAGCGTGCGCGAGGTGACATGGGGCACCAAGCGCGGGTCGACCTGGGAGACAATGCTGACGTCAAGATCGTCGGCCAGCTGCGCAATCGGGACCGTAAGCTCCTGGGTGAGAAGCCCCCGACATCTTGGACGCTCTGACCCGAATACGAAACCGAGATGGTCCCCCTCTACTCCCGTCCGCCACGCCTGAATCAAAAGGATCTCCAATCACTCAGACCGCGGATAATTTCTCTCGTCCCTCGTCCACGCCACCCGTACTTCCGCCAAACACAGCGAGAGTTCGATGAAGTCTCTGCGCCACGCGTCCCACTGAGAGGGATCGAGGAGGGGAACAACCAGAGGATGTATGCAGAAGGAGAGGCGGAGATGAAGATCAGATTGCCAAAAGGTGGGGAAGGAAGAACAAAGCTCGAAAGTAGAGATCGGGAAGGAGCTCATCGGGGATGGCAGGGGATGAGAGGGGGTAATTGCGTCGGTGGGTCACGCCGATCCAGCCGAAGGCCGTTGTATTCGATCGCTCGGATTGGTGTGATCACGTCCCCTTGGTGCGCCAGGAACTGGGTCCACTCGTTCTGAAGATTGTGCACCCACAGAAGCAACGCCACCTTGATTCTCGTGTGTCGGCAGGGGGGGATCGCCGTGAGATCTCCACTGAAATTAACCACCACCGTTATCCGGCCGACGCCCGCGGATGCTTGTTGTCGCAACCCGACAGCTTCGGCCAATATGATCACGTCAGCCCTTTCGTCGACATGGATCTCTGCTGCCGCGTAGACGCTCTTCGAGCAGAAGAATTGCGCAAGCCGCTGAAGGTCCGGACTAAGACGAGGATGATGCACCTGCCGCAGTGTCAAATTCCCACGTGCTACCAACGCTTCTTCACTTAGAGCTCTCTCCTCCATAAAGCTCATGGCGACGGCGAGGGTGACGGCGTATCCGACAGAGATTGAGAAGGAGAAGGAGACGCAGAGGAAATAGAGTCGTCGTCGGGAGAGGTCGATGGAGAAGGAGACGGAATAGAGGGAAGAAGACAGAGATAGGACACGTGGCGTGTGATTGAGCGAGCCAATCGACTGCCGGAAACCTCGAGAGCTAGGCGCACGGTGTCCACGCCGTTGGGTCCGAGTTCAATCACTCGATACTGTCCCAAGAATCGTGACGCTAGTTTACCCTGGCGCGCACATTTCCTTACCTGCACGATATCCCCTAACTTATACTGGGTCCTGGGACCCGCATTCCCGTTCCGGGCCTCGTAACTCCGGCCCTGTCGGCCATGGGCCAATTCGGTGGACCGTTGTCGCTTCTGGGCCAGTCTAGGTAAGGACCGCTCCATAAGTTCCAGGTGCCTTTTGGCTTTGTCCCGAGCGGTGACCCTTGTGGGGCGTCGGTTGAGTCCTGATTCGTCTGGGAGACTCGGTATCGACACACACGCGACACAACTGGTCCGTTACTAGAAGGGGCTTAGGCCAGTCGATTCGTGGGGCGTTCCGCGTTGGACCGCCAAGATGTGGTCGACAATATCAGGTCAGGGTCGGGGGTCATGTTGTTGAGCGCATCGGTCCCGCATGGGGACCCTCCCGGCCGCGTCACGCAGGATTTGGCAGGACTTCTCGCGGTTGAGCGTGTTGCCACTCCGGCCGAGTGCGCCAGCCGTACCTCTCACGCGCCCCTACGACAGGACAGGGCCACGCGAGGCACCGCTGCCTCCACCTGTGGGAGCTGTCACCATTCCTTAGGTGGGCGTATCCCCGCCGAGCTACTGAACCACATGCAAAAGCTGTTCATATGCAATTGCAGAGGTGGCCCAGCCGAGGGCGTTTCTCATTCGCTGTAGCAAAGGGGGTAAGCGCGGTCGAACGCCTGAAATCGAACCCGCACGCGAATCGCCGACAGTAGGGGGCTGAGGTCCCAAGCGTGATTCTACGTCGGTCGACTAGGACGCATCACACACCACGCGTTACACCACTTTAAGACAATAACTCATGCATACACACACACACAAACAAAACAAAACACTCCCAGTCCCTTTGGTATCCGACCCATAACCTTCTGAGGTGAGAATCAGATTGTCACCGCGCGTTGGACTTGGTATAAGAGTCGCGTGAACACCCAACGCACATATATGTACATATATATAAAAATATATAGAAGGTTATAAATATGTGACGATCACTTCTCATAATCACAGTGAGATTCCTCTCAGCCATATATACTTAAGTGATCGTAGGCAGTCAAATCCAAAGTCCGAATCACCAAACATACCTGCAATCATATCGAAGATCCAACCAAAAGTCCATGTACTACACGGGGTCAACTTCAACCATTCATTGCCCTCACACCCCTCGCTTTAGCCATACAAGCCTCACTCTTTGTGCAACTCTCACAATAAAATACGCAGCATCTTTATTAAATGACCATTCATTTAAAGTCCGGGTAAAAACACAACAAAACAAATCAAACCACAGGGCCAAAGCCTTTGGGTTGGGTAGCAAGAATGAATTAAAGTTGAGTCAGAAACCGACCTGTTATCTAAGGATAACAGAATGTGACCCTTATATGATCAGCTTGAAGATAGTCAAACCTTGAATCAATATGAATAAAGGTGATCTGCTATGCAGCACAGGCCAGTACCCAAGCCATGCTTGAATGATAAAGATAAAATCCTGTCTGGCCTCTGATGTTTATGAACTTTTGGCAGCATGTCCCCTCAACAGGATGAATTGCCAGATTTCTCCTAGCTGAAAATAATCTAACTCCCTAAATTCTGCAAAATTTTGACAGCGCTTCCCGTAGGAAAAGTGCCTTCCCATAATTTCTACAAGTCAAAAAATGACCAACTCTTTCAGATTTGTAGAAATTTCAGCAGCGCTTCCCGCAGGAAAAGGAGGCTACCAAGATTTATACAAAGCTGAAAACAGAAATGCAAGACAAAACTATACTTGGGATTAACTTCTGACACCTGCTTGGTAACTTAGGCTCAACATTAGTTTACATGCCCTATGAATGAGACCATGAGCCAATGCAGATCCTAAACCCTAGCAGAGTCAGTCCTATCTTATCCTAAGCTTCCCTCCCATCATCCATCTTACCTACCTATGACTCCAACACTTGGCGAGCATCTACAACAACTACTCTATCCAAAAGATACCCCAAGTGAGAGTCAACGATCATGCAAGCACAAACATCTCTCACAATCCCACATGTTTTTTTTCCAGGTCACAAAGTTCATTCAAAAACCCTCATTATTCCCTTTTTACCCTTCCTTACATAAGACATAAGGCCAGCCAACCCAACTTATGGATGTGACTGACCTGCCAGTTTATATGACTAGGCCATACCAACTTATGGTGCCCTAGCCTGGTAACACAAATATACGTACGCATAAGACTAAACCACACCAACTTATGGTGTGACCTGTTTTTGCAAAACGATCGGCATAAGGCGTATGGTCGGGTCGCACCAACTTATGGTGAGGCTGACCAGCCTGAACGTTCGGCATACACGAAAAACTGAACCTCCCCAACTTATGAGGGGTCAGCCTCTGCCTAAACAACGACAAAAGGAATATGACTAGACACACCAACTTATGATGTGCCCAGCCAGCCCAAACAATTACATATAGCGTAGAACCACGCTACCCAACTTATGAGTAGTCTAGCCCAGCCTAGACATAATCACATGCGCGAAGAACTGAACAGCTCGCAACTTATGCGTTCGCCCAGCCTTCGTAATAAAACCATGTTCAACTTAAAGGCATAAGGCATAGTACTTACCACAACAACTTATGTTGTGATAAGCCTATGTCTGAACGAATGACATAAGGCGTATAACCAGGGCGCACCAACTTATGGCGAGACTTGGTCAGCCTGAACACTCGACATACACGAAAAATTGAACCACCTCAACTTATGAGGAGCTCAGCCTTTGCCTGAACAGACGACGAAAGGCATATGACCAGACACAACAACTTACGTTGTGGCCGGCCAGCCCACACAATGACATATAGCATAAGACTAGGCTACCCAACGTATGAGTAGTCTAGCCCTGCTTAAACAACAACAGGCGTGTATAACTGAGCAGCCCGCAACTTATGCGTTCGCCCGCCCTCCACAACACAACTACATCCAATAGATAAGTTCACAATCAGATTCTGTATTCAGACGAGTGGTCAGGTCACCTCAACTCATGAGGATCCCCACCCAACGTCAGTTAGGTTTAGAAAAGGAAAATAGCCAGACTTTATATATCTCTCTGCTTTCATGTTATCAAGGAAATAGGACCAACTACCCAACTTATGGGTGAGCCAGCCTGCCCACGGTTACCACACCAATTTGTATTGTTCATCTTCTTTCCCCCTGCTTTGTCTGCTACCGGCTTATATGGCTGGATCTCCCAACTTATGGCGCCCAGCCTGCTATAAATATACATAATAACTAGAGTATCAAAATTGTATACTTCAAGTCTCTTTGTGATGACGGCTCATGACTTGACCACACCAACTTATGGTGTGAATAGTCTCGCCTGAAACAGTAAAGCATAAGACTGAGCCACACCAACTTATGGTGTGGTCAACTTCTGCCTAAACAATTGACATAAGGCGTATGACCGGGTCCGACCAACTTATGGTGAGACTGGTCAACCTAAACTTTTGGCATACACAAAGAACTGGACCACCTCAACTTATGAGGAGCCCAACCTTTGCCTAAACAAACGACGAAAGGCATATGACTAAACACAACAACTCATGTTGTGCCTGGTCAGCCCATACAGTTACATATGGCGTAGAGCCAGGCTACCCAACTTATGAGTAGTCTAGCCCAGCCTAAACATAATCACATGTGCGAAGAACTGAACAACCCGCAACTTATGCGTTCGCCCAGCCTCCGCAACAGAAGTTACAGTTCTGTGTTGTCTGAACTCACACTAATAATCTGAATTAAATCAATACATACTTGTCAATTTACTTTGCAAAACAATGTCATGAAATCAAACAAATAAACAAACAGTTAGCTTTCTCAATCATACTTACAGTCAGACAATAGCAAAAGGATAATACATTTTAGGGATAGGATCACGCGCGTAAAACGACCATTATACGTGAGTGTTCCCTGCCTCCAGAACCCCGCCTGGGCTC